TTATGGTAAACATGCTACCGAAATACTGCTCTTTGAAATAGTTTTCTTTTTTTTTACTTGCTTTTTTTTTAGTTTTTTTTTTTAATTTTATCTTTCACTGATAAATTGTTTTGAAGATTGAGCTTCATGTTCGATTTTTTTTCTATTGGGTTATATATTAATTTTATGGATTTGATTTGTTTTTCTTGGTTTCAACTTTTAATATCAAGTCTATTGGAATATGATTTCATGTTTTTTTTATTTGTTTTCTGTGAATTTATATTGATTTTATGATAAATGTCACGAGTTTAATAGAACACTTGAGCTGCCTTAGTTATTTTTTTCTTATTTTTTAATATTTTTTATTTCATCATTCAATATTATATTTTTTAAAAACTAGGTTTCATGTTTTTTTTATGGGATTATCTTGATCTTGTTATCCAGGTCGTGGGTTTGATGGGTTAACACTAATTGTTTTTGTTCAATTTTCTTGTTATTTTTAATTGATTTTTTTAAACCAGGCTTTATGTTTTTTTATGTACATTTTACGCGGTTATCTTTATCACATGATCCTAATTACGAGTTTGACATGTTGACTCAATTTATTTTTTAAGGTCCTTTTTAATTGAATGTTATTTTTTAAAAAAAAATTCACCCTCCTACAACTCAATATTCTTTTTTTTTATTTAGTTTTTTTAATTTTTTAATTCAATATTAAGTTGTTTGAAAATCAGACTTCATATTTTTTTTTAATTTGCTTTATGTTAAGTTATCTTGGTATCGTGGGTTTAATTTTTTTTTCTTGATGTCAATATTTAACATTAAATATATTAAAAATGAAGTTTCATAAATTTTTTTGCGAACTTATTATGATCTCATGATTTACATCGAGATTTTAATAGGTTAGTTCGAGTTTATTGGAACTGTTTTTTTTTAAATTTTATCTTTTAATATTATATTGGTTTGAAATTACTTTATTTTTAAAAATTTTTTATAGGATTATCTTAATATCATGATTTCGGTTGTGAGATTGACATGTTAACATAAATTGACTTGAGTAATTTTTTTTTCTTTTTCTTTTTCATTTCTGAACTTTGAGTTAATTAAAAATTAAATTTTATGATATATTTTAATTTATTTTTTATAAAGTTATAATGGCCTTATAATTTGGGTTAATACAATATATTATTATTTCAATATCTTATAAAAGAATCATTCAATATACATATGTATTACTATTTTTAAAACAATGTTGTAAGAAATTCATCATATTTTGAGTTAATAATTAAAAAAATATTAGAAAAATAATAACAATGCTTAAACATTTTTCATGTTTAAAAAAATTGATTTCATTAACAGCGCAATGCAGGATAATTATCTAGTTATATCTAACTTAAGTAACCTTAACCTGATGGTTCCATATTCAATATATATCTGTATTTGACGAACACACACATATTAACAAACATATACCCATACCAATTTAGTTTTCCAAGAGCATATGATATCAAAATAAAATAAAATTTCATCTCAATACCCACGATCTCTAATAGTCAACAGACAAATAAAAAACGCCACTTCTTCTTTTTTTTCCCAGAGAAAAATGCTAAGGCCGAACAAGCTGTCATTGATCCAGAATAATCTTTAAATAGATGCGATAGCATACAATAAATTCTGATTTGGATTGCGCAACTAGACGAATTATTGAAATGAATTCAAATGATTTTTTTTTAATATATAAATGAATCCCAATTTGCCAACCATCACTTACAAAATCTTGCTATATAATCTTTTATAGTCTAAATAATCCCACATCATGTTGTATGTGAAATAACAGTAATTAGTAAAAACAAACTTGTACAAATTAGGGAAGTAATACCATTCCTAAAAATCCAAAGATTCAAATATCTGTAATATTCCTAACCATTCATTAACATCACAACAAATATAATTATAATTATAATTATAATTATAAATTAAAATTATAGTGTAATTTAGTAAAAAATAATATAAATTATATTTTAAAATTTTATTTAATAACTTAAATTTTTAAATTGAGAATCTTTACGTAGTTTTATCTGAATTTTATTTTTTTATACTTTCATAAATTATATTTTTTATTATGTAGTTTATATTTTGAATAACAGCTTACACCTTTATTTTATTTGAATTTTTTATATGATATAAAATATGAAATGTAATTTATGAAAGTATTGAAAAAAAAAGATTTAAATCAAACTATAAAAAAGTTTTTATAATTTTTTAAAAATTAAAAAATTTATAACTTCCGCATAAATAAAAAACTGCATCACCATTATAAAATGGGAATTTGATAAAATATATATATAAAAAATATACAAATAAGAACCAATCACAAGACGGGGAAGTAATACCACTTCTAAACCTCCTAATAGAAGACCTCATTATAGAAGGACTAAAAGAAATTCAATTCAGGTTAATTTATTATGTGAAAAATAAAATAAAAAAATCAATTTTTTTTATTTAACTTTATTGACCAGGCAAAGAGAAACTTATAAAAATCATAAAAAAATACTGCTGCCAATAACATTTAAACTTGCAAATTACACTTATGTCGTGCATCTCAACCATTGAGTTACAGCACATAATTGTTATAAAATTGATTTAAAAAATATATTAAAATACTTCATTGTTTATATAAACAGTAAAATATCATTAAAAACCTTAATTTTTTTAGAGCATCTATATGATATGGCTTCTCGTACTCGTGTTTAGACCATTCTGTTGTACTAATTTAACAGCTGTTTGATAATATTGTGCTGTTGTGTTTATATATTAAAAATACAATTAATAAAAGTAATGTTTAATATTTGATTGACAGTGTTTTTTAAACGTTATATTTTCACTTTAAAAAACAGGAAGTATTATTAAAAGTAAAACGTAACTTAATTTGATTTTAAAGCAAATCAATTATCTTTTAAAAGTAACACGTATTTCACTTTAAAAATAAAACTAGCCTTAACCAAAATAAAATTGGTTGTTCTGTCATATTGTATGAATTGTATAGTAATTATTTTTTATTTAGAAATATATTAAAATAGGATTTTTTTAAAAAAATTATTTCTAACACCACCCCATCAAAATAATATAAAATTATAAAAAATAATTTAAAAATAAAAAATAAAAAATATAGAAAATTTCAAAAGCACTTTTTGAACACAAACATATTTATAATTTTTTATTTTAATTGTATTGTAATTCTAACAGTATTTTTCATCTCATCCCTATTGTTGTACTTATAAATTGAAGCATAAACTCTTGTAATTTGACATTGTATACAGTTTATGATGTTAAAAAAAAAAATCATTTTAATAAAAGATTATAAACATGTTTTGGATCTATAAGAAATTCCTCTCTTACAATTCTCGCTTAATTCAAGCCACGAACAGTAATATACAAAACAATTGCTGCCACTTGGCCACTACCCCGGCCTTCAAACACGAAGATAAGAGTGTTCAGCCACGAGATAGAAATCATGAAAGCAGAAAACTTATTTATAGCTTGAGTGCTCAAATTATGGACACATTGATTTGTGTTAGTAACATGGAATGGCGAGTGGATCGTGTAACTTCAATCAATATCAAGATATATTCTTAATTTATTTTTCTAAATTAAAAAAGCTTTATTCAAATTATAGATCAAATTAAAATTATATATTATCTAGCAATAAATCGATCTTCTCCTTTTCTTACCGTGGCTGCATGTTTGAAAGTTAAGAGTGTAAGATAAGCAATCAAATGTACAAAAACGAGGATAACATATGCTCTGAGCATTCTAGATTAGTTTAGCAGATTTTATTAATTATTCCTCATGGTTCGGGAAATTACCATTTCGTCTCGACAGTTTTAATATATTTACAATTTTGTTCTTTCACCAATCTCACGATCTTTTTAATTGAATTTATTTATTTTTCAAAAAATAGGAAAAAGAGAGTAGGTAAGAAGCAAGCATATCTGGCTACTGAAAACTTACATGATCGTTAATTTTAGGACCCATGAGATTAGTCGTGGTATGTGCAAGCTAGTCCAGACACCCACATTAATCTAAAAAAAATACTCAGCATCTGTTAAGTGGAAACTTTAATTATATTTATACCACAGAAAATAAATAATTAATTATGATAAATCGACTCGACATTTTATTACACTGCGAAGCGCAAAATATCGGGTCAAAATAAAATAAAAAGGCAAATCAAATGACTCCTTGTATCTTCTTTAAGGAATTGCAGTCTGCGTGTTTCTTTTTTATCCTTTGCACAGCTGGCATAAAAAACCTCTACTTGACAGCCTCTGCAAGCGCGAGAGAGACCAAACCCCAGAGGACAAGAGTACGAAAATAAAGGCCGCATCTTTAACGAGTGAGAAGTACCACGCCAGCAACTAGTATCGTATCCACGTGTCGAATTCCCAGACGCCTAAACTGACAAACACGTTGCCACTCTTT